CTATGTAATGTTGCTGTTGATGTTTCTTCCTTTTCAAAGGTAGTCAATAAACCTTATTCCATTCGCAACTTTGCCAGAAGGCTATTGCGTTTTTCTACGCCGCGGTTCATTTTGTGCAGTCTACTCGGCAACCACTTTGAACGGAGCTTTCACATACTCAAATATTCAAGAAGGACATCATGTTCACATTCAGTTAATATCTCTAGAATGTCTGCTTCACCTTACGGTCATACCAAATTATTTTGCCGACATTATGATATTTTCGTCGGTAACAACCTCTTTGGGTGTCTATTGCCTTCACCGCCTTCGGTGCTCATTTCACCACGTTTAAACTTAGCATACCAGTCCTGGATATTTGATTTTCCTGAAGCAGTGTACCAAAACTCGTCAGCAAGCCAATAATGAAAAAATTCGCTATATTTTAAAATTTTTTGTATAAAAAAGGAAAGAAGGCTACGCAAGTCAACAATGATATGTGTGAAATTTACGGAGACGATGCTGTATCAGTTCGTGTAGCGCAACAATGGYTCGCTCGCTTCCGTTCTGGAAATTTCGATTTACACTGATGAAAGTCTTACACTGATGGAATAATGTCTATTCGGAAAATGGAAAAAAGTGGTAGACCAAAATGTTTATTTATTAGAAATACGAAAAGACTTTTTCGTCTACCAAATATTTCATAAACTAATAATCCGACAGCTCTCAACTTTGCACACGAACCTTTTGGAGGTTAGGATCCTAACCTAGGACGAACTCGAAATCAATTATTTAGTGGTAAAGTAATAGTAAACGAGCTTGAAGCAGTAATTATTGTAGCTCTTTTAAGTCCAGAAACGTGTGAAAAGCGCCGCATTGAGAGTAGGTAGAAGTCGAAGGGCTTAAAAGTAATTTATTTAATTTAATATGTTTTACACAAACTCAGTGCTTACTTTTCAATGATACTCCGGCACGAAGAGACCACTTTGTAAAGAAGAAACTCTCAAGCTGCAAAGCGTAATCTCTGCTGAAATTTGATTTAAAATAGTTCGCAAGTACCTGCAAGCCAATTACTATATTCAAGAAAAAAAAGCTTAAAAGCAGTTAGCTGACTAACAAGATTCTTGTTCAGAAATTAATAAATCAACACATTAGCGACACACACACACCACATATACATACGCGCATTTGCATACGTGAGCATGGCTTACAAGCAATTTACATGCAAACATGTAATGGATTAAAAGATTGTAATAAGCAAATGTGAAAATCATTACTTTTATCACACTTGGCTGCATGCAAGCGGGCACACATACATACATTACATATACCCATGCATATTCATTATATTTTTTGAGACGTACTGSAACAAAACGCCGCCTCAATGCCACAACTGGCAGCATGAATGGCAATCAAAGTGTTAAAAAAAAAGCAACAACAACAACAACAGTCAGTAGCAAAAGCAATTTAAATAGAAAAATGCAAATTAAAATGTTCATCTGGTTTCAATTACTGTAATTGACTGGTTGATAACCATGTGGAGGGCAGCGCCGCCAGCAGCGCAGCAGCTGTGAACATGGCGGTTGCCGCCTGTTGATAGTTGCATTTCAATGCAGTCAATGCAAATTGCAAATTGCTAAATAATAGAGCGTGTCAAATTTAATTAACAATGCTTTTTGTTGTTGTTGTTSYTTTTGTAATTTTTTTAAATACTTTTTTTTTATTTATATGAATTTTTTTTACTTTTTGTTTTTGTAATTTTTTGTTAGCCCGCGGCATGACTGCAATTAATTTACCGCTGTTTTGTAGCGTTAAATGAAAATAATTGTACCATAAAAAGTGTTTGCAATATTATTTTTTACTGCTCCCAAACAAAGCATAAACATATGCATGCCATTTATTGTTTAAGCAAAATTACAACAAAATATTCTAATTAATTTTTCTACTTTATATTGCGGCTTGCATCGGTAGCGGCGATTTAGCTTAACTGCTGAAGTAGATTAGTTTTCCAATTAAACACTTTTGCAGCTTTTCAGCGCGCAGTTAATCCCCCAAACCCTTTCAGGCGCACAAAAGACTTAAGACACAAACCTGATATTGAAAAATTTTCGCCGTTTTGCGCGGTTTTTTGTAATCCTATTACTCACAATGCAATTTAATGCCAGTCATAATTGCCACCATTAGTGGCAACTCAATCAATCTGCACATGCAATGCGCCAGCAACAACTCAATGCTAATGCAAACATTGCCACCAACATGCACATACATACACACACATATGTTGGAGTGTGTCGTTTTCTATGTGTTCGTGTGTGTGTTTGCATGCCGTCTCCTTCAACTTGATATTCACATATTCGTGCTGGAACGTAATTCGCTGCGCTAATAAACTCACTACCGCAATAATGACAGCTGCAATGGCAACCGAAAACAACAGCAACACCAATAAATAACTRGCAATAAATATAATAAGAAGCAGACAATAGCCGTTGCAATTACAATSAACGAAATAGTTGCTTGAAAATTTAATACACTGGAATATTTTTRAGAACGTCACTGTTTGCGGTTGCTACCAGAGTTGTGTGTCCTGTTTTGGCATTTTCGTGTGTAAAATTTATAAGCCCATTTCGAATATCATAAAAATGGATAATTTTTTTCAGCAAAACCACAAAAAAAAAAA